AACTGCAATGATATTGAACTAAGTAAAAGAACCCGGTATTATTAAGTAAGAACAACTGCAATGATATTGAACTAAGTAAAAGAACCCGGTATTATTAAGTAGGAACAACTGCAATGATACTGAACTAAGTAAAAGAACTCGGTATTATTAAGTAGGAAGAACTGCAATGATATTGAACTAAGTAAAAGGAGTTCAGTATCATTGCAGTTGTTCCTACTTAATAATACCGGGTTAAGTAAAAGAACTCGGTATTATTAAGTAGGAAGAACTGCAATGATATTGAACTAAGTAAAAGAACCCGGTATTATTAAGTAAGAACAACTGCAATGATATTTTACATTAATTGTGTGACTCCTATGTTATTAGGGATCTACTAATCGATACAATACAATACGGACGAAACAAGCAACTTGCAGCATAAATAGTTTACAAAACATGTGTTTATAAAGCCGATGAGGTCCACATAGACTCCCTTCCCCTTCGGTAATTGTAGGGTTAGAAATATGACTGAGGGTAATAATCTATAATAATAATCCTTTACATAACGCTGGAAATGAAATAATATTTGCCCGTGTAAAATCCATGGAGTCAATACATTATTTGTTTCTATCAGCGTTAATTAAGGATGATTGAATTAAAGCACAGCGGTATGTCTGTAGACTTACAACGCAAGAAATTAGGTTTCGATACCCGTGAGGGGCAAAGCACAGATAGCTCATTGTGTAGTTTTGTGCTTAAAGTACAAAAAAAAAATGTTGACGATTTCATTATTTTAAGAAAATTTAATTCATTTCGTTAAGAGGGCGCTCGGGTATGAAACAAGGACTTCTCGATCTGCAGACGAATGCTTTTTTTTATTATTACATTAATCCAAGATGAGATATAAACCAAATACACAAATATATACCAAACACACAAACAGTCAACAGTTCCATATTACAGAAATATCATAGCATAATACTATGAATCACCAACATTGAATTAAATTAATTTAATGTGTGGCTAATCTCCTTGCTGTTCAGCCACACAAACGTCAACATACTATTGAGTAAGCGTCTGTAATTGGTCATTACACATAAATCTCAACCAATCAAGATAAATTTTGTTCTTAAGTTTAGTTCTATAGTGGACAAGCGGATTAGGTTTAGCTTTATCATTTCTGTTTAATGTTCTGGGTGTGAAATGGCATAAAACATAATCGGTTGTAGTGATTTTTCGATGTTGAAACATCCAGCAACCATGGCTAACTTAAAATGTGTAATATAAACAGAGCTCTTTTTAAGGAATTCAAACAAATGTAATTCTAAAGAATGCGCTACAACTGAGCTACACCCCTCATGTCTTATTTATTAGTGTTCTGTATAAATGTAATCTATTCTTAGGGTTACAATATATTTAAGAATTATGGGTAACTGACAGATTAGGTTAGACACCACAGGATGCTATTTTACGATCGAATTGGCGTCATTTGTTTGGGGAAAAAATACATTATATCACATTGAATAAAACAGATTGAATTGTTGCAAAACATGTTTTGTCGACAATTGTAAAAGAAGAAATCCCTGTAGCTTTATTCAAAACTTAAGAATGTGACCCACGCGCAACGCTTCATTCAAATTCCAATGTAGATTAATATCACCAACTTTTCCAAATAAATCAGATTACTACACGTGACTGGTGTTTCGAAACCAGTTATCTCCACTTTGTTTTGCCCTTCTTTCTTTAAAACGAATTTACCAGTATAACAGAATATGCTTGGGTCATTTACACAACCTTTTGTTGCCATAGCGACGAATAAATAATATTGAACAGAAAAAATATTGTCAAAGTGCCACACTCAAACAAATACCATCCAGATATGACACGTCATGCGGCCTGTTAACCGTTTATATGTTAGCGGTGTGTCTCTCGTGGGTTCTGGAACGATCGACAAGACTCTCACGTCGCAATTGGTCTAGAGAAATCTATAGTCAGTGGTTGTCAACATTTAAGCATAAAAAATGTGACCCGATTTCAATGAAAATGATTCACTTATGCCAAAGTTCATATAATGTTTTGTGAATAATCTGTACGTGATGGAGAGAAATGGATATCATTTTAGGATTCAGGGTACAGGAATTACCATAGAACATGTAAACATTTAAAGACAATAAAATCATGGAAGGTCTGTGTAATCTTAATAAAAAATCATTTAGA